CATTGCTGATGTAAGATGGATCTTGGCTGAAAACAGAGAATACCAGAAAGTTGTTTACCTGTGTTTAATTGACTATGCAAGGCATTAGGCTGTGTATATCATAAAACTCATGGATAACATTGCAAAGAATGGGAATTCCAGAACACTTAATTATGCTCATAAGGAACCTGTACATAGACCAAGAGACAGTCATTCAAACCGAACAAAGAGACACTGCATGGTTTAAAATCAGGAAAGGTGTATGTTAGGGTTGTTCGCTTTCACCATACTTATTCAATCTGTATTCTAAGCAAATAATCTGAGAAGCTGGACTATATGAAGAAGAATGTGGAATCAGCCTTTCAGGAGGACTCATCTACAACCTGTGATATGCAGATGATATGATCTTGTTTGCTGAAAGCAAACAGGACTTGAAGCACTTACTACTGAATATTAAAGGCTACAGCCTTCGGTATGGGTTACACATCAACATAAAGAAAACCAAAATCCTCACATCCTGATCAATAAGCAACTTCATGAAACACAGAAAAAGACTGAAGTTCTCAAGGATTTCATTTTACTTGGCTCCAAAATCAATGCCCATTGAAGCAGCAGTCAAGAAATCAAATGATGCACTGCGTTCAGCAAATCTGCTGCAAAATACCCCTTTATAGTATTCAAAAGCAAAGGTATCATTTTGAGGACTAAAGTGCACCTAATCCAAGGAAGACCAAAGTATAATCGATGCCTCTGAATTATGATGTTGGTGAAGAAGAGTGAATGGACTGCCAGAAAATTGACCAAGTATCTCTTGGAAGAAGTACAGTAAGAATGCTCCTTAGAAGTAAGGATGGTGTAAGACTTTGTCTCACTTACTTTAGACATACTATCAAGAAGGACTAATCTCTGGAGAAGAACATCACGTTTGGTAAAGTAGAGGGTCACTGAAAAAGAGGAAGACCCTCAAAGACATAGATGGACACAATGGGCTCAGACATGGCAACAATTAGGAGGATGGGGCAGAACCGAGCAGTACCTCATTCTGCTGTACATAGAGTCGCTGAGCCAGAACCAAGTCAATGCCACCTAACAACAGTGTTGTTGTTAGATGCCGTTGAGTCGCATCCGACTCAAAGCGACCCTATGCATAGCAGAACGAAACACTGCCTGACCCCATGCCAGCTCCATGATCCTTACTAAAACAATTAACAGTAGTGACATTAAAATATAAAAAGAAGCAGGTGGAATCAGTTTTAATAATATTTTTTATTTAACCCAATATATCTGAAATATTGTCATTTCAACGTTACTAATATTTAAAATTGATCAAATATTTCATATATTTTAAACCAAATCTTTGAAATCCAATGTGTATTTTATTCTTATACTACATCTTAATTGAGACTAAAACCAAACCAAACTCACTGCCGTCGAGTTAGATGCGACTCATAGCGACCCCTCCTTGGGTTTCCAAGGTGGTATCACTATGGAAGTAGATTGCCCAACCTTCCTTCTGAGGAGTGGCTGGTGGGCTTGAACTGCCAGCCTTCGGGTTAGCAGTCAAACACCTTAGGCACTACGCCACCAGAGTATACTCAACAGTCACCTGTAGCTTGTAGCTACCATTTGGACACCACAGCAAGTGAAAGGGCTACTCCTTACCTTACTGCCAAGATGGGGATTAACAAATGTCACATCCTCCAAAGTCAGTAGAATTCTGTTGGGTCCTTTAATGAACTGGATTTTATTTATACGATGCCTGAAACAAACATAAAGTCGTAGTGTTACAGGGGACTGGGTACTATGCAAACCCCTCATGCCAAGAAAAAACTCACTTCCGTCAAGTCAATTCCAACTCACAGTGACCTTCTAGGAGTAGAACTGCCCCATAGGGTTTCCAAGACTATAAATCTCTGTGGAAAAAGACTGCTTTATCTTTCTCTCTCAGAGAAGCTGGTGGGTTTGACCCACTGACTTTTTGGTTAGTAGCTGAACACTAAACCACTGTGCCACCAGTGCTCCTTTTTGCAAACCCAGGGTTGATTTTCCTTAAGGTAGAAGTTAAAGTACATCCAAGATAATTGGGAGAATAATCATGCATGGATGTTTACCATAATACTCACAGCAAAGGGAGGCAGCAACCCTGATGCCCACAACTAGCAGAGTTACAAAAACCAAAAGAGAAAAATAAGAAGGTGCTTGAAGAGGCCTTAAAAAGGGATGATGAAGGTGCGGCAGAAGAATGGTATTTCAGACTAATAAAATGGTTATCCCACATCAAGGGCATATTCAAAACTATACTTCTGAATTCTTTTGAAGAGCTCAACACCCTTTCTCACATGCCATAGTACTTATCCTAATAATACCAAGGCCCAGAATCATTAATCTCCATTTTATAGATGAAAAGCGTATTAAAGAAACAAAACAAAATTAAGTAAATTGAGTGAGATCCCCTAGCCTGAGGCAGATCTGGGACTAGAATCCTTGGTCCTTGGCTGTAGGCCCAGATTTCAGGCCACAAGACCACTTGTCTTACAAAGTTGCATCTATTCGTTACCAAAGCAACAGGTTGAAAAGTGGAAAAATTCAATCCGTTGGTTGCTTTGTCTACATGATTCCAAACAAGTAGGCTGACAGATTTTTTTTTTCTTTTACTGAATTGTTCTCTTGTTTGAGCATTACATAGACACAGTTTAAACCTGATTCTTTCCGAACATATCCATTAATTTGCAAGGAATGTAATTATTTTCTGCAAATCAATTACTAGACACATAGGAGATTATGATGTCTACATACACAGCCAGGTAGGTCGTCTCAGTTAAGCTGACCAGGCAACTTGAGAACTGGGAGAGAACCTTGGATTAGTCTGTGTAGGTATTTTGTTTTATTTGGTCTTAGGGGGCTCTCTGACAGCTACAGTTTGGCTTCACTTTTTCCATAACCCCATAATAGTCACCCTGTGGAATGTATTAAAGCCAGAGCAGAGAAAACAACCACTGAATCAAAATGCTTTGTCAAATTGCTCTAAAGAGAAGTCTACAATGGCACTGTAGCTTTAAGTACCAGCAACTGAGTCAGTTTTTCTCAGTGATTCCACTGGTTTTTAAACAAACAATTAATGTGTTTCTAATTGTCTGCCAACAAATATGTCCCTTATCACTGTAGGAGCTGCTGCCCTGCAGAGAAAATTAAAAGAGCCCTGTAGTGAATTCTTTGGTAGAGCACATGAATCTTTTGGCAAAGTAAAGCATCACTCCCTAACTTATCTGTTTCGTATGTGTAATGAATTGTGTTAAAAGCAGTCACACCTGTAAAAATAATTATGCTACACAATACACTCTAGTACTGAATTCTCAATCCAGAGACCTGGGGTGCAGTGCAGGTTCTGTCATTAATTAGCCATGTGACCTCGGATAAGTAATTTAACCTCTTCATGCCTCAGTGTCCTCATCTATCTAGCAAAATAATAGTCTGCATTATTGGCCTTACAGAGTTGTTTTGAAAATCAAATGAAATAATGAATGTGAAAGTGCTCTGAAAAGCATGAAGCGTTATGAAAGTCTGAGAGCTTATTATCATCATCATCATTAGTAGTATTACAAAGCACATGAGAGCTTGATAGAAAGGAAACACTCTGGTTCAGAGGAGTAAGGAAAAAGGAGTTGAAAGAATCTTTTATTTTGGGGATGGTTAGGTTCTTTGCACGTCTTTCTTTCTGGAAAAAAAAAATTCAAACAATCAAAACACAGAGAAAAAGAAGGAACAGAAAGTCACTCTCCTGCAAAGTAATCACCATCTATTACAGAAACTCATCAGCCATTCAGCTCTTCTGATTGCAGCCGTGGTGGGCAGAGAGAGGGCTGAAGGCAGCAGAGAGGGGGCATCTTTTGTGCTTTGTTAGCTGGAGAACCAAGGACCAAGTGACTCTAGGAAATGATGTGCCTCTCTCCCATCTGAGTTTTCTGTGACCACTTGAAGTATCAATTGTCTCAAACTCATTTTCCTCTCCAATCATTTTCCTCTCTAATCATGTTCCTTTCCAATCATTTTTTTCTCCAGTTTTTGCCCTTCAGCCCACAAGCTCCAAACAAATCCCCCTCATTTTTTCTTTTTTTTCCCTTCCCTCCCAAAGTATTGCAAACTGGGTCCACTCAATGCTTAAAGATCCAGTCCATTCAGTGGGAAAGATCAGTGAGACCAGTCATTTTGGAAGATTGACAAGCAACCTAAACAACGGAGTGACTCCATTCATCAGCTTTCCATGGGATGTTTAGGCATGGGGTCTCCAAAACTCACTGCCATCGAGTCGGATCCGACTCATAGCGACTCCTCCTTGGGTTTCCAAGGCAGTATCACTATGGAAGCAGATTGCCCAATCTTCCTTCCGAGGAGTGTCTGGTGGGTTTGAACCACCAGCCTTCTGGTCAGCAGTCAAATGCCTTAGGCACTACGCCACCAGAGCTCCCGTTGGCATGGGGTAGACAGACCTTATTAATTCTCAAATCTCTCTGGAGGGAGAAGATTTTTGATTGGATGTGTATTTTATTATTACACTACATCTTAATTGAGACTAGATGGCATTTATTTTTACTAAGTATCTAATGATGTTAATTAAATATATTTTTTGGCAGCAAAGTCAAGGATATTAAATTTCTGTTCTCAGCAGTGATAGGTCACAGTCACAGAAATCAAAAGGAAAACTTCTTTGAACTAACATTTTTATCAAATGTGTTTTAACAATTCATAAGCTGTGTGGCTTTATCAGGTTTCTAATACTGGGGATATTGAATAATAGTGTCCTTTAACAGAGACGCCAACATATTAAAACACAAAGAGCAACACCTGTCACGGTTTCAATCCAGATTTTCACAAGCTCGTTAGAATATTAAAGCTAGAAGGGCTATTAAAGCTCATCTAATCCAATTCCTTCATTTCACAAATGAAAAAATTGTGGCCAAGGGAGGTTAAGTGACTTGCCCAGGGTCACTAAGTTATGCACAGTAGACATTTTTCCTTGGAACTTGCCAAGATGGCTCCACTTCATTCCCTATTTGTCCATGTCATATTGTTTTGAGGACCACCCTTACAAACAGGTGCAGAGATATAGTTTGCAGGTAGAAAGGGTAAAGTGGGAGGGCTGAGATTGATTTCATTTTTCACTTTCCCCAATTCACGTTATTAAACAGAGGGGCCAACTGTGAAAATGCAAAGATTATCCAAAAAGGGGTATCATGTTCAGCCATTTTCCCCTGATCCTAAAATGGTTCATCAGATTCATTGATCACTTATTAGGGGACCTGATGGTGTAAGACAAAGACAGGATGATGATGATGATGATGATGATGATGATGATGATGATGATTAAATAGGACAGCTTTTGCCCAAGGAAGGACATTAAAATATGGAATGTAATAACCTGGGAAAAAAGCATGAATATCAAAGTGAAGATCCTAGACTCCCAGCAATCAGCAGGAGAGTCTCATGTGCCTAAGAAAGGATTGAGATTTACAGTTTATTGAGCACCTATTATGAGTTAGGGACTGTTCTAGGTACTTTTTGTGCTTCAGTTTATTTAATCCTCATTACGATCTTGTGTGTTAGTATCATTATTCTCAGAGCTAGGATTCTAGCCAAAGTCTGTCTAATTCTTAGAACTCACTAATAGCTTGACTCCAATCCCTAGAAGTCCATGCCATTAGGGAAGAAGGTGATTATATAGACTCTGCCAGTGGAAAAGGGAGCACAGACAGGGAATAGACAGGCTCTAAAGTACCAGTTCCCCTATTTCACCATTGTGTTGAGAGCCAGCCCTACTCATAAGCAACAACGCTGACAACACAGCTGAGAAAGTTATTCTTGGCATCATGAAAACACTTCACTCTAAATGGGGCAGTAGACATGGTAAATCACTATGGAAAAAAGAAAATCAGTGGGTCATGTAATAAGGCAATCGTACTGAAACATGACTTCCTGGAAATCAATATTAACAATGCTATTATGGGTAATTTTTTTTTATATACAAAGAGAACAAAAAATGTACCTTATAAAGTAAGCAAATCCATTAATAGTCAGCAGGGCTATAAGCAAAGCAAGACAGACCATGATGGCAAAGGCAGCGTCGATGCCTGCAGAGAGCAAGAAGAGGATGACATTATCCGAGAGAGGCAGTAAATAAAAGACACCAGAGCAACTCCTCATGCTTTCTGGTGACTCTAAAATCAAGCCACATCTACCTAACCTAATTCCATTTTTCTCCAGCACAGTCTATCTTGTTGACTTTATGGACATAGAAAGCAATTTCACTGTTCTGAAGCAAAAACCACTCACCACTCTGACAATAACAAATCACCATGAATTAAGGCTGACCTGGGTGTTTCTTTGGAAGAAAAAGTCCACAAATGGAAAACTTTGAGTATCTTAATTTCAGTTGGATGGCAATCGAGTTCTTGAGAATAAATATGTTATCTCACCTGTGAAGGGTGAGTATTATGTGGCCTTCATAAAAGAAAAGGCCTTTTTAACTTAGCCGAGCCCACAGACCTCGTGAGTTATGGATGAAAAACATAACACTTGTCTTTCAAGAGTGAGTCTGGTTTTGATAATCAGTGTTTTCATCAGCATTTAAATTGGCCTCTGGTAAATCAAAATATTTGGATAGATTACTAAGATTTCAGAGGGAAATATGTGATGATGAGAGTGAAGAGGTAGTTGGGTATGTCATGCTAAAGCAAAACAGAAATCAAAGCCTATTTCAAACGGATGCATTTGGTTTGGGAAGGGTGTGGTATATGCTTGCATAGGAATATGGGTCCTTCCAAAGTTCCCCTCTGGCTCTCAGAGATTTGATGAAGTCTCCCCTCTTCCACCAGCTAAAGGCGTTCCATCGGTCAGTCAAACTGCAAGTATTTACTGGATGCCTACTGTGTCGGGTGGTTGGGAAGGAGGGGGGGTAAGAATTATTGGCTGTGGCCCCTGCCCTCAAGGAGCAGTCTATTTGGGGGGAAACAATCAATACACAAGAAACAATAGAAAAGTAATTTTGTGATAAGCTGTGTGGTACAGACTTTTAATTCAATAGGAGTTCAGAGAGGAGAAGGAGTAGTATGGGTTGTTGGGACCTGATTGGCAGGATTTAGATACTCAAAGAGAGGACAGGTGATCTTTCTAGCAGAGGAAACAATCTCAGGTCAGAGCCTACAAACCACCAAAGAGAAGGCTGATGCCTTCCTTTTATTGGAGTAACCTCTTTGGGAAAGAGTGGCTGGTTTTCAAAATGAGTCAGGGATTTAATTGTGGATGATTATTCACGGCTGCAAAATACCTCTTATTCTCCTTATTATTTTAAATTAACTGCATAGACTACCAAGAAGTTTATGTCATCTGAATGCAAATGACTGATTTTATGAGTGTTGCAATATTAAAATATGCCTTCCCCTAAGAGGTTCCCTTATAACCCAAACTGAGCCAAATTGACTACCAGTGATTTTCCATTTCTTACCTCCTCGGCAGATCTTCCCTTCTGTAAACCAGCATTTTGCATCTGCTCGAGGGGGCCTGCCACCAGGGAAGTGAATGGGGGTCCCTCCAAACCGTAGCAGCTCCATTTCCACGTCCACAGTGTAGGTGCTATGGAGTTCCCATTCTTTCCAGTTGGTGTCCAGAATTACATATTCAGAAATTCCATTTCCATTTGAATCTGTCCTTATCAACTGGTTGAATCCATAGAACTGCATGTTTCTGGAATGCTGAACCAGGCTGGCAGCACTAGCCCGTCCATTTTCTTTCATAGCATTATTCATGGCTTGTGCGATAAAGTAAATTGAATTGTAGATGGTTCCAAACAACGGTGAAACCTATTTTTAAAAATTACAATTATCTTGAGCCCCAGTCACCCTAGAGCGATCTCAGAGTGTATTCCAAGCCTGTGTTCATTATTATGGGCTGCACGTCTGAGTGGTGTAGCACTATGAAGACCCAGAGGGGGGAAAAAATTGTTTCTGAGGACTTGCTTGGTTTCTCTATGCCCTGAATTCTTCTGCTTTTCTCCCCCAGGCCTTCACATCTTTAAATATATCAAATATGACAATTTTATGAGCAAACTAAGTCATACACCATATATTTTTATGCTCCAAAACTAAGAAAGTGATTTAGAGTTAAAGGGCACTAAAAAAAAAAAAAAAAAAAAAAAAAAAAAAAAGTATGGAATAGACAAGAAGAGCTCAAAGGAAATTTACCAGGTTAATTACTGGTGCATTATGCATGGTAAAATCATTTTGTTGGCACTACTAGAGTGGTAGGGGTATGTTGCAAGACTGTAAATAATGTGTCTTCACAGTCCTTGTCTGTACCTTGTTTTAGTTAAAAATGGATGCTCTCCTAGACAAATATTCCCCAGAGAAAGTGAACATTAGATTCCAGTTTTAAACACATACCTGCACACACATGCAGACACATCCACTGACACATATACACCCACAAATACAGAGTCAAATATTGTATGTGAAGAATGTGGTTTTTAATCAAGAAATTCTGTATCTAGTTGGTGTGCAGAGTGACAAAGCTTTGGCGAGAAGCCACTCTAAAGCAGTATGGCTGCAGCAGTGGACAGCATGACTACACCTGTGAAATAAATATGGTAAAAGCAACAGTATTTGGGTTCTATGCCTAATGCACTGCTCACTGACTTTGTAAGTTTATTTTTGGAACAGTCTATGTATCTTTTTTTTTTTTTTCCAAAAACGGTAGGGAGGAAGAACAAATGATCCCCCACCCTCATTACCCCTGCCTCCTCCATGGTTTCATGGTTTTACATAGCATTTCATTTCTAGAATGAAACTAAAGGAAGCTATGGTCATGCCATTTTACTGAGCTTCAGAGAAAGCTGATATTTGCTACTTTTGTTTCACAAGGTCTAGAAAGCTATAATCCTGTAACAACTTTCATCTGAATAAAAGAGTTTAAAAATGAGTGAATCGTTTTTGTGTTGGAAATCAAAGTCAAGATACAGAGAGATATAGGGGCTAGGAAGACATTCTCATGCCTTGTTAATGTAGAGCAGATGGTTTTCAACCCTGGCTGCACATTAGAATTATCGGAAAGGTGTCAAAAATACCAATGCCCAGCCCGATCCAGACAGAATGAGACACTTTAGGTTGGGAATACAGTAATCAGTAGTATTAAAAGCTTCCCCAGGATTCTAATACACATCAGGGTTTAAAACTAATAGTGTAGAAGAATGCATAGTGAGTGGTCTAGTAGTCGGTTCCTAATGCCAGGATGTTTAGGCAAGTCATTTACCCTCTCTTTCTGGACAAGTTTTTTCCTCTATAAAATGAGGATACAGAATCATGAAACTTGGAAGTCATCTGGTCTATCTTACTTTATAGATGGGAAAGTGAGATACAGAGAAATTAAGTGGTCTGTTGAGGTCACTCACCTTGGCATAAAATTAGTAGAGCCTATATATCTCCTGTTTCCTACTTCAGCATTCTTGGTTGGACTACATGGTCCCTGGGCCCTTTCTAGTTGTGAACTCCTGCGAAATTTTCCAACATCTGTTCTCATTCAGGTACCAGATTTAGATTGGAGACGTGTTTTGTCTTGTATGTGGGTTCTTCATCATGCCCCTCACCTCTTAACACTGGAATTCCCCAGGGCTCAGTCCTTGACACTCTTATCTATACTCATGCCCTAAGTGATCTCTTCTGGTTTCATGGTTTAAATACCCTATCTATGCTTATAACTCTCAGATTTATATTTCCAGCTCAGATATCTCTCCTGAATTCTAGTGCATAGATTCAACTGTCTACTCCATTATCTATTTGCATATTAAACTTAACATACCCAAAATTGAAATCCTGATCTTCACCCCAAATCCTCCTGTTCCAACTATAGTCATTTTTGTTAATAGTAACTCTATTCTTCCAGTTGCTCAGGCCAAAAACCTTGCCCCAGATATCAGAAGTAACTACTGGCAGAGCAGAAAGCAACATTTCAGTCTGCTGAGTTTTAGTTCAGTAACCTCCCTTCACCACTCTGCCTTAACATGTCCTCTACAGAAATACCAAAAACAAACTCACTGCCATTGAGTTGATTCCAACTCATAATGACCCCCATTTGTTTTCCAATGTAGTAAGTCTTTACAGAAGTAGATTGCCCCATCTTTCTTCTGTGTAGCAGCTGGTGGGTTTGAACTGCCAAACTTCTGGTTAGCAGTCAAATGCCTTAGGCACTGTGCCACCAGAGCTCCTTCATGAATAGATAACATGTACTGCCACCAAGGCATCCACACTTAGTTTCCTAGCACACAATGAGATGCCTTAAAAGGTTTTCACTAACTCTCTCTCTCTCTCTTCACATTCACAGATGCTCCACTTGTCTTTAGGATTTCTGTAAAGTTCTGCATGTTTTCTGGAGCTTTGGAAGGTTATAGCAATAAGTGAAAGGTAGAAGGTGGAGTATAAAAATCAGTAGTAGTAAAACAAATGAATAAAAAAAAACACAGGGCAGTAAGCCCTTGAAAGCAGGGAGAATACTAGTGTTCAGTTTTGAAAGGCACAGAGCCTTCAGGGAAAGAGATTGCATCTATCTACAGCCAAAAGCAAAGGTTGGAACTGTTTTAAAAAAACAAAAACTCCCACCTCTGAGCTGACCTATTCCTCTGGGTTTTCAGGTGGCCAGGCTATGCTGCCTTTTGTGTTCTCGGGTTGGCCTCTGTTAAACCTGACTGACAGCAACTCCCCAAGATGACTGGAGCCTGAAACCTATTCTTCAGCCTCCACCATATCACACACATAAACACACACACACATAAGTGTGATACAGGGATCTGAAGCCAAGAGAAAAAGCACAGCGGTAGCAGCAGTATTCAGTTGCAAAAGAGTGGCTGCCACAACTGCATAGCCTCACTGTGAGGGTTTAGATTTTGTGTGCCAGTTGGTTATGTTCCTACTTCATCTTCTTGTGCCCTTCAGAAATGAGAATTGCCCCTTCCATAAACTGAAGGCACACTCTGTTAGCATCAGTCACATAAAGTTTCTAGTTTCAGCTGCTGCAAATAATGAGAAAAAGAGGAGGTAAAGGGTGGGGCAAGGGAAGAAGGGACACTTTCCAAAACCTTCTGTCCTGTTTTCTGACTACAGCACCAAAGGAACAAGATAGGATTGATAGAAACTCCTGTCAGACAGATGACTATGTTGACATCACAGCCCAGAATGATGAAACCACTGATGACTCGCCCTATTGGTCTTGCCTACAGTACAGATCTGTGCCTGAATGAATAAATGAATAATGGATGGATGAGTGATAACTGAAACTTATTAGTGATTGTGCTTCAGCGACCTTATCTAGACCTTTTGGAGCTTGTATCCCAAGAACACCAAGTGTGGGTCAGGAGCTGTGATATTAGAATTTGTTGAACTTAATAATTTGTGCTATTGTTAAACTGATCATTATTAGTTCAGACTTCTGTGCTTGAGAAAACAGAAAACTAGCTTCCTAAGAAATTTGTCCTCAGAAGTGTGCATCAAAACATGCCTGACTTGAAAAGCCGTCACTTTCAGGACAAAATGGCAGCATCACTTTTGAACAAAAAGCCAGGCACATGTAGAGATCAAGAAACCAGGGGGTGATTGAATTGTTATTATAGGTGGTACCTCCAATAGTGCATAATCTCAATCCTTGGAGTTAGCCTAGGGATGGATAATAGAACCATCTGTCTGATGTGATGTTCATGAACATAATACCCTTATTTTGTACAGAAGGGGGTACAAAGACAATTCTAGCTACTGTGAGCTGCAGGCAACTCTTTTTTTTGACAACCTATGTGGTGTGACCCTGTCTTGAAATGCTTCAGCCCTAACCACATCTCCTCAGTCCAGGATCCCCCTGTCCAGCACCTACATTTAGGATGATGGAAAACATTATTTGTAAGGACTTTAAAATCCTCTGTCCTTGCTAGGAAATCCAGAGTCTCTACTTTCTTTGACCAAATAAGGCCACATTTGGAAAAAAATATCCAAAATGTGTGTTCATTTGCAGCCAATAGAATTGCACTGAAAATAAACATTGGTATTACAATGAAAGGAAAGTGTAGGCACTAAAACCTTATTCCAGGCATTTATTTTGTGCCAAAATATAAAGGTACAAAGTGATAGTCCTGCCCAATCATTTTGAGACCAAATTAGAAAGTTTGTCACTAGTGTCCCATCTGCCAGTCTCTCCATTCTGATTCATTATTACTCTCTTTTCAAGGGACTTCATAAAGCCCTGATTTCTCAAATATCAGAGGAAAAGAATCTAATAAACTCATTAAAATTGAAGTATTCGTCACTTAGTAATGTTACTTTGCTTGAATAAAGTATTAGATATAGGGCACAGTTTAATGTACGGGTTGGGGGAAGCAAAGCCTCGTGTGTGATTGAATGGTCAAGTTCTAGCAGCAGATGTGGGCTGGAATTCCAAGTCTACCACTTGGCAGCTGTGTGAAATTGAACAAGTTACCTCCAGCCTCAGTTTCATCATCCATAAAGAGATGTTAATACCCAATCTGTAGGCTTGGTCTGAGGATTCGATGGGATCGTTTATGTAAACTGCCTGGCACAAAGGAACTACTGAACACATGATAGCAACTATGGTTTTGTAAAATAAGAGAAGCACAGTGCTCTAGGAACATCATCCTGGAAGTGTAGAGTGGCCAAGTCCCATGTCCCAGTCTTAAATTTGTGACCAATAAGTACTGAAGTCTCAATTTTAGACCCAGAATGCTTACCAAATCCTGTTACTGTCAAGTGACTTCCCACTCATAGTGACCCTATAGAACAGAGTAGAAGTCCCCCATAGGGATTCCAAAGCT